TTCCCTTCCCTTCCCTTCCCTTCCCTTCCCTTCCCTTCCCTTCCCTTTCCTTCCTTTCCAAAACTGATAAAACCTTTGATCACATCCATATTCTTTTTTTCACTTCAATTCTAAATTTCATGAGCCTTTCTTCTTCAAAAACATTTTTTATTATACATCTTTTTTTCTCTTTTGAGCTCTATTTTTTGAGGACAGCCCACTCTGTACAGACCTGGTGACTTTCTGTGCTTGATGGCTTCTGCTTATTTGTAGAGAGAGCTGATTCTTGTTCTTTTGATGGTTTTGTCTTGTTACAAATCCCAGACATGGTTTGATTTCATACGACATTTTTTTCTCTATGTCTTTAAATGAGTGAGAAAAGATTATACTTTTCAATATTTCAAAAACATCTTTTTTTCCCCCCCAACTAGAAGATATTCTTAACCAATCTTGTTTCTCTATGGAGAATGGTACTTTGTCTGAAAGAGATCCACGGTTACTTCCCTCTGTATAATTAATAGAAAAGTACTTAATAATTTCAGAGTTGGCAGTTAGAAATAGAAGTGTCTCAATCTACCCCTCTTCCTAACTTCCACTCCTGGCTAATGCACTGTTGTGCTCTAATAAGTATTGCATGTTAGCTGTATACCAAAGCTACATGAGTTTCATTTTTTGAGGAGCCTTTTCGTTGGCTCGTGTCCACTTATTTCTTTCAGAGTTAATTTATTTGGAGTTTAGGAGTCTTTCAAAACCTTTGTTCTGTGTATATACTTTGTTGCCAGATATGAATTTTTTTGTAGTCAACAACCAATTCCAGTTGGTTTATGTCAGTATCTCTTCAGGCACTGAGAACAAAAGAACTAAAAACCTAGAAGTGGATTCAGAGCTTTGGGAAAGTAAACTCTTTGTTTAAATGAATAAATATAATAGAGTATAAGAAAAAATATAAGGTAAAGATGAACAATTATGAATTTTGTGGAAAAGTTTGTATCCTGCCAGGGATTGACAATTGAAACCATGAGGCAGCGACACAAAACATCCTTTCTAGGTAGAGGCTGTGTGTTTAGCGTAGCTTTATAAGGAAATTAGAAGCACTGATTGTTGATGCTTCTATTTGTCTTTCCATTTCTCATGTGAATCAAGAGTCTGCTGGCCAG